TTTTTTTTTTAAATGTGGCACTGTGAATTTAGCCCAGGGCCTTGCACTTGCTAAGCAAGCACTCTGCTGCCAAGCCACAACCCCATCCCCTACATGATCATTTTGTAGAATCCTTTTCTCTCATGCTTCGCTTATTACCGTATCTCACAGAGAAGAAATAAAAACATTGTCACTTTTACTTTTGTCACATGTCAAAGTTAATGCCTTTTTTTTAGATGGCAGTAACATTTTACTTACATGTTTTTTTAGGCATAATTAATGAGAATGAATGAAAAGTTAAAAGTACTGGTAGGCTGGTTAATGTTTACCAAGTGGGTTTCTGGAAAATAACATGCATGATGTAAGGATGTTTATGAACAGGCATAATATTATATATATAGTTAGTATTAAAGATATATAGCACATGATGAGGATGCAGGGCAAATGTACACTTATATATATTACTGTTGGAGCTACAAATTATTCCAACCAATTTGGAAAGCAGTATGGACATTTCTCAAAAGACTAGGGAATTCAAGAACTGTTAAATGACTCAGCTATCCCACTCCTTTACATTTATCCAAAATAACTAAATCAGCATAATATATGCCTACCAATATTTATAGCAGCACAATTCACAATTGCCAAGTTATGGAACCAGAGTGGATGTCCATCAACAGATGAATGGATAAAGTAATTTTGGTTTATATACACAATGAAGTTTTACTCAGCCATAAATAATGATATTATAGCATTTGCTGGTAAATGGAAGGAACTGGAGAACATCATGCTAAGGTGAAATAAGCCAGACTCAGAAATTCAAGGATCTAATATTTTCTCTTATACACAGAGGCTAGAAATAAATAAGGATTCTTTTTTGAAAAGGTGATATCACAAAATTAGAAGGGAGAATAGTGGAGTAGAAGGGAATCAAGTATTGGGGAAGGAGAGGATCTGCGGAACGAAACTGGCAAAATTATGCTACATGCATGGATGGCTATGCCACAATGAATTCCACTTACATGTATAATTATAATGCACAAATTAAAAATGAATTAATAGAAAGAAGACCAATACAATAGAACAATGGGATCAGGCAAGGAGGAGGAGAAGGAAAAGGTCAGTACTGGGGTAAGAAATGGAGAAAGTTGCTGGGTACAGTGGCACACACCTGTAATCCCAGCAGCTCAGGAGGCTGAAGCAGGACAAAAATGAGTTCAAAGCCAGCCTCAGCAAAAATGAGGCACTAAGCAACTCAGTGAGACTCTGTCCCTGAATAAAATACAAAATAGGGCCAGGGATGTGGCTCAGTGGTCAAGTGCCCCTGAGTTCAAGTTCCAATATCCCCCCCAAAAAAATGGAGAAAGTTATATTATATCCATATATGAATACATCAAAATGAACCCCTCAACTATGCATAAATATGGTCACTAATAACAAAATAAAACTATGTGTAGCACATAATTTACAAATACTAATAAAATATTCAGTATTCCTTATTGTAAATCCCATGTAACCTATTGATTCTCGGGGTACACTTTGAATAAATTTTTGACTAATTGAATTATAGCTAACTATATAATTAACAAATGAATAGAATTTCATCATGAATGTTAGATTACTTTTACACTAATGAATAAAAATGTGTGGGCTGGGAATGTGGCTCAGGTGGTAGCACGCTCGTCTGGCATGCGTGCAGCCCGGGTTCGATCCTCAGCACCACATACCAACAAAGATGTTGTGTCCGCCGAGAACTAAAAAATAAATATTAAAAATTCTCTCTCTTTCTCTCTCTCCTATCTCACTCTCTCTTTAAAAACAAAATAAAAATAAAAATGTGAAAAAAATGTTTGTTGCAGTTTCACTCGTTCATTCATAATATGAGTCACTTCTTTGTTGAATCAAATGATAGTTTTTGAAATTCAGAAGGATCTTTTCTCAACTTTTTGT